TATTTTTTCTACATTTGACCTGAAAAACTCATGTTTTTATTCATTTTTTTAAAGTCCTGCTGCCGCCGGTTGTACAACTGGCTTAAAGTGGCTCCCTACAGACCCGACCAGCAGGTGGAGGAGGATGATGACCTAATGGATGAGAGTCAGGGGAAAGGCATCCGTGTGTTGGGGGTGGCCTATGCTCCTAGCAGGTGCAACTACTTCATTATCTAAAGTTTAAGAATCTTTTGTACAAATATGGAAAGAGTAATTCAAGTTAAAAAGAGAAAGACATGTAGCGCCTTTTTGAGAGTTTAATTCCATTATTTAATGACTCTTCTAAACAGAGACACACCAGTTTTCTGTGCTTTGATCAATGGGGATGGAGAGGTGGTGGACTTCCTCCGTTTGCCGTACTTCATGAAGAGGAGGAATGCCTTCAGGGAGGATGAGAGGGAGAAGAAGGTGCAGAAACTAACTGAAGCTCTTTGCAAACTGCTTTTTTTCTTCATTTAGATGTTAAAATCAGATATCTGGATGAATTGGAGTCATTTTCCCTTCTTTGTTGTCCCCATCGTCCACAGGCTCAGGATGTTGAAAATCTCAAAAAGTTTCTTTCCAGCAAGAAACCTCATGTTGTTGCTGTTGCCGGGGAAAATCGGTAGGAAAAAAATAAATTTAATTACATCAGTTTTAGCTAAGCATTTTTCTAAACATTTTCGGGCTTTTATTTTATTTTGCTGAGAATATTTCACAGGTTGTTATTGTTTCATAGTAAAACAATGCCACTTTAAACAATCTCATTCAAGAAGAAAAACATCTGTTCACATGCCTCAAAAAGACATTTATTTGGTCACATTAGAAAAAATTTACTTTGTGTAAATCATTAAGGAACACGGTGTAACAAATTATTAGCTTTATTTGAGTTAAATCTACCTGAAAGTTGCTGTAGATATTTCCATGTGAAATCCTCATGAAATCCTGCATTCACTGATTCCAGTAGCTTTAAGATTTTTAAGGTTGTGTGGATAGATTTGGTTAGATTTTGATAGTAGTCTATTCACTCAATGTCAGATGTGTTCACTTTAGCTACATCCTACATCATTGTTTCATTCTAACCCCTTATTGATATAAAGAATCATCATTTTTGAAACAAAAAACAGTTTAGATAGGAAATGCTACACATCCTTTGGAAAATTTGACACGGTCATATTAGAAGTTTAGATGCATTAAGTTGTTAATAAACACCCTTTGTGCAGAGATGCTCAGATGATCATGGAGGACATAAAAAGGACCATCAGTGAGCTGGAGCAGGAGTCGTCCCTGCCTGCTGTGGGAGTGGAGCTGGTTGACAATGAACTGGCCACGCTTTATATGAACAGCAAGAAGTCAGAGGTGAATTGTTGATACTTGAATGATCCTGCAGAAAGAGTTCCATACAATAATTTATCTGTTGCTCGTTTTCACCTGAACCTTTTTTATTTTTATTTTTTGCAGAATGACTTCAGGGATTATCCTCCTTTGCTGCGACAAGCTGTTTCAATAGCTAGGAAGATCCAGGATCCTCTGATTGAATACGCTCAGGTCTGCAGCACCGATGAAGACATTCTCTGCCTGAAATTAAACCCACTGCAGGTAAGACAGATTCATAGACCTTAATATGTGACACTTTGATTTCTTTAGGCTCACTATTTTGTACCTTTTTATATATTTTTACTTAGATTACTGCAAACATTACTATTTTCTATACAATGCTTTTCCATTGTGTAGTTTCATTGCTTTTATTCCATTATGGCTCCTTATGGAAACAATGGAAAAAAAAATGTTTTTGTCTGAATCTACATGTAGAAAAAATAAAGCAGCTCTTCTTTAAATGGTGAAAAAGTACACCGCATATTAATAAATCATTGGTCTTTCTTAGGAACACGTGGTTAAGGAGGATTTGCTCAACGCTCTCTACTGTGAATTTATCAACCGGGTCAACGAGGTCGGGGTAGACGTGAACCGAGCGATCGCCCATCCCCACACTCAGAGCCTGGTCCAGTATGTCTGTGGTTTGGGGCAGAGGAAGGGTGCCCACCTCCTCAAGGTCAGGATTTAACTGAAAAACCTCACAGCCTCTGTATCTGTGATCCATCTAAACACCTTGGTGGTTTTATTCTGTGCAGATTTTAAAGCAAAACAACACTCGTCTGGAAAACAGAACGCAGCTGGTCACAATGTGCCACATGGGACCCAAAGTTTTTATCAACTGTGCTGGTTTCATCAAGATTGACACAGCGTCCCTCGGGGACAGGTCGGTACCTTAACATGCAGTAAGAGCTACTCAATGCATTTTTAATTACAGATGAAAGACACACCTTTCAGATTCAACGTGTGATATATTGAAACACCTATTTAATTGATCTATAACTTTGGAGTTCAGCTAAATACAATGAAGACGATGGTTTTAATGTAAAAATTGGTAAACATAGAAGGCTGGTTAAAGCAGTGGCCAAACTGTTATAATCAGCATCTTTCTGAACTTCCTGGCAGTACGGACTCCTACATAGAGGTGCTGGATGGTTCTCGTGTCCACCCTGAGACGTACGAGTGGGCTCGCAAGATGGCTGTTGACGCACTCGAGTACGACGAGTCTGCAGAAGATGCGAACCCTGCCGGAGCTCTGGAGGAGATCTTGGAAAATCCAGAACGCTTGAAGGATCTGGACCTGGATGCCTTCGCTGAGGAGCTTGAGAGACAGGTCAGTTTGAGGAGTTTTACAGTGAGGGTAAAAAAAAATGTGCTCGGCATTGGCTAAGGACATGGGTAATCTCTCGTTCCGTTTCATCCTGTAGGGTTACGGAAACAAAGGAATTACGCTTTATGACATCCGAGCTGAGCTGAGCTGCAGGTACAAAGACCTCAGGGTTCCCTACAGAGTTCCCAATACAGAGGAAGTCTTCAATCTGCTCACCAAGGAAACTCCAGAGACCTTTTATATTGGTACATATTTCATTAGTCTATGTTGACTGTTTAAATTTAGTCCCTAGGGATCAAAACGCACTGATTTAGAAAGAATCAACCTTACAGGTGGAAATGCATCACATCTTAACATTTTGTGTCCTTTCCTCTCAGGTAAGTTAATAACCAGTGTGGTAACTGGTATTGCTCACCGGCGGCCTCAGGGAGAGAGCTACGACCAAGCCATTAGGAATGATGCTACAGGACTGTGGCAGTGTCCCTTCTGCCAGCAGGACAATTTCCCCGAGCTGAGTGAGGTACCAGATCCTTTTTTTAAAGTCTGCCTACCTCCGATAAGAGCACACCAGTTATAGACAAGAGAGCTTTAACTTTCTGATGGTGAAGACTTACGGTCATCCTCTATTTAATCCAGTGCTGTGTTTTTCAAAAGCCAGAGTCTACACAGATCAAACTGTACCAACAGGAAACTATTTTCCTAACAATTTCAAAAACACAGGCTGCATTTTTTAAACCCTTTGCTAGATTCATAAATATACCCTCTTTTACGTCTAGGCTGTTGAAGTTAATTTTGTATAGCTATTCACAACAAGAACACTAATATATCAAACAAAAACAAATAATATATCTTCTTTGTGTCTTTGCAAGTCGAACAAAATGCAAGCAAATATCTGTTTTAAAAAAAAAAAATAGAGACCGTTTCGTCTTGTTTTTTTTTATATCCCTTTGATTGTTTTGGTCCGACTTCTGTATTTAACATGGAGGTATGCCGAATGTTTATCATATTGTTTTAAGCTTCTCAGGGCGAATCCACTGGAAATTAAGACTAAAAAAAGGCAACATGTTGAGCAAAGATTTAGGAAGAGTGAATCTAGGCTCAGAACGATCCTTGTAGGCTAAATTCATCTTTATTTTTGCTCTTTTCTCTTTGCTTCAGGTGTGGAATCACTTTGACAGCGGCTCCTGTCCGGGTCAGGCCATCGGGGTCCGCAGCAGATTAGATAATGGAGTCCAGGGATTCATTCCCACCAAATTTCTTAGCGATAAAGTGGTCAAACACCCTGAGGAGAGGGTCAAGGTGAATCTTTGTGTTTTTCTATTTGCACCAATTCGACTCCTGATAAATCTTGAACTTGTCTCATTTTTTTCTGCGTTTTTTTTTTTTTTTCTCCAGTCATGTGTGTAATGCTTCACTTCTCCTGTTCCTCCCCTCCTCAGGTGGGCATGACTGTTCACTGCAGGATTATGAAGATAGACATAGAGAAATTCAGTGTTGACCTCACGTGCCGCACCTCAGATCTGATGGACAAGAACAACGAGTGGAAGCTTCCTAAAGACAGCTACTACGACTTCGACACAGAAGCAGAGGATCAGAAACAAGAGGAGGAACTCAAAAAGAAACAGCACCGCACGCGTTAGTCGAAGCAAATAATTAAAAATAAGCTTAATTGATCCTCACTCAAGCTCTGTATTAATGCACGTCTGGTTTTTCTTCTTAGCATATATAAAGCGCGTGATCGCCCACCCCAACTTCCACAATATCAGTTTTAGCCAGGCAGAGAAGATGATGGAGACCCTCGACCAGGGAGACTTGATCATCAGGCCCAGCAGCAAAGGGGAGAACCACCTAACAGTCACATGGAAGGTAAGGAATGCTGCATCTAAAACAGCGTTTTAAACTAAAGGATTTCCATTTTCAGGAAATGTTCAATCTTAGCTTAAAGGTACACTATGCAACCGGTGTTGATTTTCCAATGAGGCTCCCCCCAGAGGGCGAAAGTGCACTGTCGTAAATATGCACAGCTGTTCTCCTGGTTTCTCCGTCAAGCCAGGCGCGGTTGTTTTGAGCTTAGCAGACAGGCGAACGCAACGAATGACTAAGCATCTGACACGCCGCAAACGCGCTGCTGCTCGAGATGGAAAAATTGAATTTTTGCTAATCGACGCGCCGCGTCAACCAATCAGAGAAGCTGATCTGGGAGCTGGCAGGGAGAGAGACACAGCGCTGATGATCACTCCTCTTAAACAGTTTATTGACGCCTAAATTAACTTAAAATGCAGAAATCTGCCGGCAGAATATGTTGGCTTTTATTATCCTGCTGCCTGCAGTTTGGATTATTTAGATGAAAAACACCTATCAGCTGCCGCGGCGACCCGGCCAGAGGCTGCTGATGAAGGGATTCCTACTGTCGGCGCACCGCTGGTATGTGGGGGTCTGAGCGGCTCCGACAGAAAAAATATTGTAAGGCAGGATGATGATCTGAATGAACTGACTGCACTGATTACGTTTTCAGGTGTATTTTCTCACTTAAAAACATATTAAAACTACTTTATTCCCACTGATCACAGCAAATATAGCTGCAAGGCAGAGAAAGGATAGTGAAGCTCCGCCCAACGCGCGTCAGACACACTTTTGCACCGCGCAGCCAGAGCAGCAAAGCTGCTTCAGCCGCGCGTCAGAACTAACTGGTACAGGCAGTAAAAATGAAGCAGCAGACGCGATTTTGCTGCTTTTGCTGTGTCCGGTGTGAAAGCAGCACTGCACAAAGATCGCCACTGTGCTAGCAACGAGCATGCTTTTAACTGGGGCGTGTAGCAGTTCTCGCCGTAAAGCAAGACCGACTCTCGCGAGACTTCTGAGCCTGTGGGTGCGGGTCGGTGCTCCTGCAATTGCAAGTGCAGTGTTTCCCCCACAGACCACCAGGGCGGCCTAAAATACCTTTGTTCAACCTGAAATTACTCATTTTATCATCCAAAACGTTATGGAACACATTAATTAACTGAAAAATGTTGCATAGTGTGCCTTTAAATAAAGTAAATCAGGTTATTTTTTGCTAAACCATCTTATTTCTATCTCTGTCCTTGTGTTCATTAGGTGGCTGATGGCATCTACCAGCATGTCGACGTGAGAGAGGAAGGCAAAGAAAACGCTTTCAGTTTGGGCCACACTCTTTGGATCAATAACGAAGTGAGCCACATCCTCATTTTCCCTCACATGCACCCCTCAGTAAATGTCTTCTGTGCTTTCCACATTTAACACCGCTGTTTTATAACTAAAGGAATTCGAGGATCTGGATGAAATAACCGCTCGGTATATTCAGCCAATGGCCTCATTTGCGCGAGATCTGCTGGGACATAAATACTTCCAGGACTGCAGCGGAGGAAGCAAAGAGGTAAACAAAGGTTTAATGTGCTCCATAAAACAGTTTTGTCTGCCAGTGATGAGCCTGCCCTCTCCTACCGTTGTTTTGTTTCTTCCTTGACAGAAAATGGAGGAATTATTAATCCGAACAAAACGAGAGAAGCCTACCTTCATTCCTTACTTTATATCGGCTTGTAAAGACCTCCCAGGGAAGTTTATTTTGGGCTACCAGCCCCGTGGAAAACCTCGGTGAGCAGAGCTGTCGCTTCACTTATTTCCCTTTGTGATGATGGCTTACTGAACTGATAATTTTGTTTGTTTTTTGGGGGTTTTTTTTACAAAGAAGAGCAAATATATCGGTTTGATCATAATGCAAGCAGCTCCATTTAAACCAGCATATTTAAGCAGAAAGCTCAAAATAATGTAATGTTTTATCTTATTTGGAACATTTTCATTCCAAATATCTTCTTTGGTTTGAAATTTTAGCTGTTTATGGATGGATGTCATAATTCAATTCAAAAATACTTTATTAATCCCAAAGGGAAATTAAATGTTGCAGTAACTCATACATTATTTTTATAAGTTTTAAATCTGTTTAATCTATCTCTTTTTGCTAATTAAGTAGAGGATGTTTTAAAACTTGGACTATTTCTCATGGTTCTTTTTCCGACATGTTTTTTATATCCATGTTTTTATCAATCAGAGGAGAATAAAAAGGCTGATTATAAATAGAGATTTTATTCATAGAGGCAATTCAACTTTCCACATTGCTGTTAAGAATGTTTAAATGTCCAACCAGGACATCATGATGGGATTATCATCCAGACAAGCTCACTTCAAAAATCATTCATTTTGGTTAAGTCATTTAGAATAGGACCTGCTGATGTTCTGTGTATCACTGTTCTGCTTAATAAACCAGATGTGTTTTGGGCTTCAGGCCTTAAACTAGGGCTGGGCGATATGCTAACAAATAAAATCCAAATTATATATTTTTTTTTTTAGCCTTTCTCATCTTGGACAATTACAATTTTAATCAATTGTAATTGAAGTATTAAAAACTACATGCATGTATTGTAAAATAGGTATACATTATTCAAAAATATGTTGTGCAAAGTAACAAATATTTAGCCAACATTAAAAAGGGTTAAAAAAAAACATATATATATATATATATATATACACTATATTGCCAAAAGTATTTGCTCACCTGCCTTGACTCACATATGAGCTTAAGTGACATCCCGTTCCTAATCCATAGGGTTCAATATGACGTCGGTCCACCCTTTGCAGCTAGAACAGCTTCAACTCTTCTGGGAAGGCTGTCCACAAGGTTTAGGAGTGTGTTTATGGGAATTTTTGACCATTCTTCCAGAAGCGCATTTGTGAGGTCGCACACTGATGTTGGACGAGAAGGCCTGGCTCTCAGTCTCCGCTCTAATTCATCCCAAAGGTGTTCTATCGGGTTGAGGTCAGGACTCTGTGCAGGCCAGTCAAGTTCATCCACACCAGACTCTGTCATCCATGTCTTTATGGACCTTGCTTTGTGCACTGGTGCACAGTCATGTTGGAAGAGGAAGGGGCCAGCTCCAAACTGTTCCCACCAAGTTGGGAGCATGGAATTGTCCAAAATGTCTTGGTATGCTGAAGCATTCAGAGTTCCTTTCACTGGAACTAAGGGGCCAAGCCCAGCTCCTGAAAAACAACCTCACACCATAATCCCCCCTCCACCAAACTTTACACTTGGCACAATGCAGTCAGACAAGTACCGTTCTCCTGGCAACCGCCAAACCCAGACCCGTCCATCAGATTGCCAGATGGAGAAGCGCGATTCGTCACTCCAGAGAACGCGTCTCCACTGCTCTAGAGTCCAGTGGCGGCGTGCTTTACACCACCGCATCCGACGCTTTGCATTGCACTTGGTGATGTATGGCTTGGATGCAGCTGCTCGACCATGGAAACCCATTCCATGAAGCTCTCTGCGCACTGTTCTTGAGCTAATCTGAAGGCCACATGAAGTTTGGAGGTCTGTAGTGATTGACTCTGCAGAAAGTTGGCGACCTCTTCGCACTATGCGCGTCAGCATCCGCTGACCCCGCTCCGTCAGTTTACGTGGCCTACCTCTTCGTGGCTGAGTTGCTGTCGTTCCCAAACACTTCCATTTTCTTATAATACAGCTGACAGTTGACTGTGGAATATTTAGGAGCGAGGAAATTTCACGACTGGATTTGTTGCACAGGTGGCATCCTATCACAGTTCCACGCTGGAATTCACTGAGCTCCTGAGAGCGACCCATTCTTTCACAAATGTTTGTAAAAACAGTCTGCATGCCTAGGTGCTTGAATTTATACACCTGTGGCCATGGAAGTGATTGGAACACCTGATTCCAATAATTTGGATGGGTGAGCAAATACTTTTGGCAATATAGTGTATATATATATACTTAAATATCCATAACATAAATCATGTGCAAGTAACACAAATGTTCACCCAACATTGATTTTACTGATTTTCTATCAGTAAAAAATGTACACCTACATATTCAGAACAAGTGCAAGAAAATAGAGCTTCATTTGCTGAAATATGCTATTTATGAAACCGTAAATAACTTGTATTTATCTTCTGGGAAGTAGGTGTTTATAATTAGCTGTCCTTTAAATATTGTTGTTAAAAGGATCACTTTTATTCTATACTGTATTTTTTTTTCTTTGTTACTGTGGTTCACTGCAGTCCTAAAGTCCTTGAAAGGGCTTTGTGAATCTATCCAAACTGGTTGATGTAAATCACTTCAATTCTCTTTTATTTAGTATAGAAATCTGGATACATTTTTGGTCATTTGTGATTTAAATAAGGAGTAAAGTTTGGATGGCTTTTTTTAGTTAAATGAATTTATTTGAATGTTTTATTTATTTAGCTTTTCCTGATATGATCTGTGTCTCAATGGAAAAAAAAAGAACTTCCCTTAAGAACAAAAATTTGTTTTTTTCCCTCTTGTCATTAGGATTGAGTATGTGACCATCACCCCAGATGGCTTTCGCTACCGTTCACAGATATTTCCTACAGTCAACGGACTTTTCCGATGGTTTAAGGACCATTATCAGGAGCCTGTGCCGGGTATGAAAGAAATAAATTACTCTGCAATAGCCCAATAAATCAGTTAAATGCACTGTAAACGACTAACATTTCCCTTCCTTCAAAGGTATTACTCCGAGCAACAGCAGCAGAACCAGAACCCCTGCATCCGTAAACGCAACTCCAGCCAATATTAATATTGCAGGTCAGTCCAGCCTCCATCCAAACTAAACTCTTTTTTCAGTTTTAGCACATTTATGTTTGTAACGTATTCCCTCCTTCCTCCTCAGACCTAACACGAGCCGTCAATGCCCTCCCTCGCAACATGACTTCCCAGATGTTCAACGCCATCGCTGCAGTCACGGGCCAAGGCCAGAACCCAAATGCCACCCCTGCCCAGTGGGGCTCCAGCCAGTACGGCTACGGCGGGAGTACAGGAGGAGGAGGAGGAAGCTCTTCTGCTTATCATGTAACTGTTGTAGCTTTAGACATACTCAGAAAAAAAAGACATCCTGAGCTCTTCAAAAAGCTGAGTTTTAAGATTATAACTGATTTGGTCGTTGAAATTAACCAGACTTTCATTCAGTTACTTAGAAGTGACTTTAGCCTGTTGTTAAATAATAATTCTACCCCCGTTTATTGTTAAAAAAACTGGTTATTTGTTTTCCGCAGGTGTTTGCCACACCCCAGCAGCCCATGGCGACACCCTTAATGACGCCCAGTTACTCCTACACAACGCCAAGCCAGCAGCCCCTGGGTACACCGCAATATCCTGGCTCCACCCCTCAGTCTTCACACGTACATACCCACCCACACCTACCGCTTCCCAGCCATCACGGCCCTCCGAGCGGTCACCACGGCCACGCGTCCAGCACACCCTCATCGTCCACCTCCTCCCGAGGGCGAACACCGCAGCAACAAACGCCGCAGCAGCCAAAGTATGTTTACTTTTTTTGACACATATATTTCACTGCATCTTTTTATCCATACAAAAGAAAATGAATAGACGTTCCATAAGTATTGGAATGAAACATAGCTGCACTTTATATTGAATCAGAATCTATTGCAAGATTTTACACAGGAGGGCTTAAATGAAAGATTTTATTGGCTTAAGTATTTCTGGCATCATTCATTGAAAATCTGTCTTCCAGTAATTTTTTTGGAGGCTTGAATAAACTTAATCCTTTATGGCCAGATATGATATGTTCCTTTCTCTATGATCGACCTGAGCTAACAGAAGCTTTAGCAAAGATTTGAAGAAAACATTGAGTAATTCTAATGAATCATTGCAAATTGGACCATTTTTATGTGTTATTTATGGGCTGACTTCATTAAATGTTATGAATAATTAATAATTGAAACAAGAAATTATTATAGTAATTATAGAAATAATATTATTTTGTTTCATTTGTTATTTAGTTGAGTCAGGCTTGTTTTTTTATGTCTAAGCGCATTCTTACCTTCATAAATCTGTCATAATCTGATAAGCCTAGTTTCAATAAAGGAATCCAGCTTTTCCTTGTAAAAGTGTTATGCGGTTCTCTTTTTTAAAACTTACAAAGGAGAAATAACACTATCTGTGACCCCAGGCTCACACCGACTCCGGTCTTACCGTTGCGGTGCGGTGGGTGCGGCGCCGCAGTGATTCCAAGTCATTAAAAAGACATAAACCTCTCTCACTGGCTGCTGAGCTGTCCGGCTGCGGTTACCGAAACACTCCGGCACTGCAGAAAATTCCGCAAGAAAGCTATCCTTGCGGCGTGCCGGAGCCCTCCGCAACAAGCTCTCGCAAAAATCCTTTATTTGGGCCGTGTTATCGCGTGAAGTTACGTGAACTCAAGTGAACTTCTATTAAATCTCCGGACCTGTTGCCGGAGCTGCACCGCACCGTAGTCAAAAGGGCGGTGTGAGAGGGGGTGTGCGGGAGTTGCGGTCTCCGTCGGCTCGGTAACTGCACCGGAGCCAGTGTGAGCAAGGGGTTAGGGTTTTTAAACCAACCAATACCTTCATGTAAATTGATAAAAAAATAAAATATTTCAAGATACTGGTTTGTTTCGAAGTCGCTCCCTGCAGCCTCACCAAGCCATAGTAATGGAAAAGTTTTACTCCACAAAACAAAAAACAACCTCTTAATCGAAAAAACAAACACATTGTTCAGAGGAACTTTTCTTTGAAGGCAAAATAAGAGAAGAAACAAAATCCTCAATGAGCATACAGGCTAGGTTAAGGCTACAGGGATTTTGTTTTACAGCAGTGTAAAAGCATCATACTCTGCTTTCACAGTGACATAATAAACCTCCTGGACAACTTCAGCTCATCATAGCTGTTGTTAGGCTCACTGACTGTGTCCTTTGAGATTTACTTCCAAGGAGCCAGATTCTGGGATTCAACCACTAAAAAAAGAAATGTTTAATTAATTTAATATTTTCCCAATATTTTTAAGCATTTTTATTTATTCAACTTTGAGGCGAAGAAGATCTTTGTATTGAGCCTGTTTTCTTATAGTTTGGCTCTTCTGCCACTAGGTGGCAGTGGTGGTAGATCAACGCTCCACCTTGTCTTGACAATCCCCCTCTGTCCTCTTCCTCCCCCTACAGACCGAGCAGCAGCGCCTCCTCCTCGGCAGTGGACTGGGGCAAGATGGCGGAGCAGTGGCTCAAGGAGAAAGAAGCAGAGGACAGGAAGAAATCCCAGAGGATGACGCCACGACCTTCACCCAGCCCCATGATCGAGAGCACGCCAATGTCGCTGCCTGGAGATGCCACACCGCTGCTAGACGAAATGGACCGATAGGACATAGAGGGGGGCGTGGCTTCAATCCCCCCTCCCTACAACCTTACTTCATCCTTTGTACTGCTTCACTCGGAAAACCTTTTAACCCACCCCATCCCATCCCACCCACAGCCATTAAGCTGATGTTCCATTCATACATTTACCTCCTGATGTCATGCAGCAGTCAGTATATTCACATGTCAACCCATTTCCTTCTCCTGTCATCTCACAGCAGGTGTTTTAGTTCCTCTCCTCTTGCCAATCTCCTCCAGCTGCAAAACATTTTTGCATGTCATGCAGACAAGTCGTACAAAGATTGAAAAAAATAAAATACTTGAAGTATCAGTTACATATGGGAAATGGACCTAAACAGACACTGACAGACAAGCTGTCCTCCTATTTTTGGTCTTTCAATTGCTTTCTGTTTATTCCTGGGGGGTTTTGGCAGAAGGGAACAGCTGAGATGTTGAGTTCGAAAAGCAGCTGCCAAAACAACGCTTTGGATCAGGAAATTATTTGATATCTGTACGGAAATGCGTCAGTATGAATAAAGACTTCTTTCTTTCTGTCCGAACTTTCAGACTCTGCTCACATCTGTCAAGATAAACACAAATGTAACTGTGCAGATTGGTCCCGAGTTAGGGAAAGACCGCGTTCTCAAACGTGTGCTAATGCTAATTGTGTTAAGATCAGCTGACACGTCTTCTGGCTCCTGCAGAAATCATTAGACGTGTTAAAAGACTGCAGACATGAACCACACTGGGAACAGTGGCTCCTCTTCGTCACTTTGTGCTCCTACACTAGTCATTGCACAGTGGAATCTTTTTTTTTTTTTTTTTAAGTAACTGACTTTTAATAGGAAACTGAAAGATCTTTGACAAACTTCTCAGTTTGGTCAGTGAAGCATCTCTAAGTTTATTTGAACCTCCACACACAATGACTTCTTGAGACTGTAATCATTTCACTTGAATTTAAAGTCAGTTTTGAAATGTGAGGAATTATCCCCTTCATTACACGGCATGAGACAGTATCAAGATTATTTTTTTTTTTACACATCTGAAGCAGATGAATTCTCATGTTTAAGTGGAACAGTCCTATCGGAGAGATTTCTACCTTCCGTGATCATATTCCCAGCGCTGTCATATTCTAAACTGCACACGTTAATCTCAGTAGAGTGAATATTAAGAATCAATTTTGTGATCGTCTTTGCGGCATTTCAAGGCCGCTCTGCTTCCCTCTTGACTTATGCGTTCATCTCTTTTTATTGAAGTGTTTTTTTGTCCCACAGTACAAACAAGCTGCACTGGTTCCTAACCATGTGCTTAAACCTGCAGTGTGCAAATGTAACGCGGTCCCATGACATGCATATCCTTTTAAAATGTTTTTAAGGCACTCTTGCTTTGAGTTGTTCAGATTACCTGCACAACGTTGATCTCGGAGGGACTGATAGGTTGTCAGCAGCAGTTGGTTACGGTGGTGAAATGTCTTTGCCTCTGCTGATGACCTTTTTCTAACTGTGATCTCTTTAATAAAAGTGTTCATAGTAAATTATTTTTGTCTTTTTTATGCTAATTATGAAAAAAAACATCAAGCGTTTGAGTGAGGATAAAAAAAAATCCTATATTTTGTGTAAATGTCCTGCTAAATTGTAAACATTTGGTGAAGGCTGATACTCTAAAAACTAAGTGACTGAATTTTTCCATTCCTCGTTTTAGAAAAGTAACTGGTAAACCATTTCATCTTAGCTTTTTTCCCAGTTCAAATGTAGTTTAAAATGTAATTTTCCTTTTCAAAATAACAGTTAAAAGATGCTTGAAAGCTTATATCATATAAAGTTTTAGGTCTTGACCGTACAGCGGTTTTATGATCCCTCTGCAGCAGTAAGATGTCCACTGTTAAACGTCAACGTTAGAAATGACAAATAGTCAAACTGTTTAATAGACTAATTGAGTGATATACAGCGTTAAAGCTATTGAAAGCTTTAAATCTTTATCAGAAAATTAGATTATAAACATAAATCCAAATAAAAGACCTTCAGGAAGACTGCTGACCTGGAACTTGTCCAGCAATGTCAAGAGAAATCAGCCTCAAAAGGCCACTGGTGAAGAATCTGACTATTTACAGACGTCCATGTTCAGTTATATTTATGGAGAGTTAAGAAGATAGAAAAGATTTGGTAAACAAATATGCACAAGCAACAGCTACAATTAAAACCTTGTTGCTCCAAATCCTGCAAGCTGTATCTGGGACATGGGTTTATCTGGTGAAATCCTGTTAAACTTTCCTGAACCAGAGATGTCCAAAACGTTTTTTCCTGGGAGAAAGAAACAAGAAAACGACTGTAGCTCGGTCCAACCTTATATTCAAAGACCAATTTCTAATCTAACTATTTAAGAATTCAAGCTGCCTGAGGTCCAAATGATTTGGAGACAGAGGTGTCAAAAAATTTAAGTTTATTACTCAAGTACAAGTATAAATCCTACTGTTTAAAAACACTTGTAGTAGTAATAGTATCAACTTGAGCTTTTTACTCAAAAGTATAAAAGTACCAGTTTTAAGTAAAAACGTAATGCAGGACAGATGCTTTAAACCTTACACTGGTTACTGCACTGCCCTATTAAAGGAGCACTTTCTACAATTCTGAGTGATAACTGTCAAATTTATCCTTGAATCATCTTGAAAAACTATTTATTTTGGTATGTGGTGAACAACATGTTGGTGCAGCGCTGTGTCCAATTATAAAGAAATTATTTTATTTGTATGTTAAACAATTTTTATGGTCTTTATTTTTTTTTATACCAATCAGGCTATAACAAAAATTGGGCATTAAATGAAACAAAACCAACAAGTCCATTTTCAAAAAGCAAGGTGTAGAAAGTAGAGATAACTCAAATAAAAGTGTAAGGAGTAGAAATAAAAGTTGTCTAAAAATAATGATTCCAGTAAAGTATAGATAGTCAGAATTTCTACTTAAGTAATGTAATAAAGTATTTGTACTTTGTCACTTGACACCTCTGCTTGGAGAGACATGCCCTGTTGGTCGTCCCCCGTCTTTTATCAGGTGCAAAGACAGAAAAACCTGAAAAACTCTTCAAACCAATAATTGACACACAACATGCAAAGAAAAAATGCTGCAAGAGTCAAAAACAACTTAAGAAAAGTTACATATTAGCATAGCTTAAGTTCTTCTGACCACTAGGGGGGAATTGTCATCGTTTCATAAGGCTTAAGTGTTTCAGCTGTTGCCATAATAAGTGCAGTCCAAATAGTGCTGGCAGCAAGGAAGCAGGATGCTATTTATCAATAGCTCATTTAGCATAGGGACCTCCTGATGTAACCTGGAATAAGCCACGTTGATAAGTATAGTTCAGTTAGAATTCAACACAGTATCCATCTGAAAAAGGCCCCTTTTCAAAGTGTTTGCAAAAGGTAAGGACATCAGGTATAATTGTTCGAGCTGATTGGTTAAATGAAGCGGCATGTGCTTTCTCATAAAAAAAAAAGACTTAGAGGGTAAAATGGGCATAGCCTTCCGCTTCTACTTTACGTGTTGCACGTCAATACATTTCATTGGTCCAAAACATTTCTGTATCAAGGATAATGCATCTATTAGCCTCTGGAAAGATGAATTTTCAGTTTTTCAAATTCATAAACCTCGCACCAATTCCTCTAGCATGTCCTGTAATATGCAAACGTACACAGCTTCATAGTGTATGTTAAAGCTACAGTGTGTAATAATTACAGGGATATACAGTCAGGAATGTAATATATTATACATAACTATGTTATCATCATCTACGAGCTCAGCCTCTTAACCTTAATATTTGCGTTGCCTTAGAATTCGTTATTTATAATTACATAGGAGCGGGTCTCACAGCCATGGAGGCAGACATCTTTGCGCTACGGCAGCGCAGAGCCGACAAACTAGCGATTGCGAGATCGCCCATTACAATAACATGCTGCGTGATGATGCTGTTACTCTCCAGTATACTTATTCAGCAACGCCCCTGAAGTTTTACAGGTAATGATTCAGTAATTTTCTGTAAAATAATTTACTGGATATATACCTCGGTTACTTCTCTCCGGCTCCTTTGGAGATCTTCAAGCCTTTCCTCCTCTGCTCTAGTCACCCCGCTGGCACCTCTCCCTCGCCTGGCCCTGGCTGCACGCCCACCCCGGCCTCTCTGCCCTCTTCCTCTCCCTCTTCCTCGCCATGTAACCCCCGTGCCACAAACAAGACTTGGACTCTGTAAACGGGGAATATATATTCTTCCAGCGAACATCTTGCTGTTAAACTAATGACTACAATTACTTCGTCTGTTTATATCACCATGCAAAGCAGCTCACCAAAACGTCACAACGATGTAGAAAAAATAACGGGTATATTTATTATCATAAGTCTACATGAAATCTATACCCTACACAGACTAATGAAATACTATCTGTAAAAGTATCTATGTAAACAAACCTCATCACTTGAGAAGGTAGGTGATGCGGACGTCATGGAAGACATTTTGTCCCGTAACGCTCGCCGTACTGTTGGGGGGGAGAAGCGGTGGGGGGGAGATGTTCATGTTGCTGCGGTCTGCAGTCTGGACGTTAGATGTCGCTGAAAATTACACACTGTAGCTTTAAGGGTTTAAAATAGAGGGTTTTCGGATGTTTACTATTTTTAATTTGTTTTTTGTAGTTTCGCTTCTATATTGTAACAAAACAGAAACATCATTATAATCCAGTAAACTGGGATAAAACCTCATATCTGTGATATTAGAGAATGTTTTCAGTCTCAAACCACTGATTGACTGTTAAATGTAATAAATCCTTTAGACATTTTTCTATGCTCTGATTTCCAGCAAATTCTCTTCTATGGCAGTATCAATAAAATCTCACAGTTCATGTTTTGTCATGTTATCAACCAAATTATTTTTAATGTTCGGTAGTTAATTTTCATTTTCAAGTGTACCGAGAATTACAAAAACTGTTTCAGTGCTTTCTGAAAAAGATATACAGTTACAGTAAGCCTCATAGCTTTAAATAATCGAAAATAAATTGATTGATTGAACTATGAGTGATAAATATTAGATCAATAATATTTAGTGAGGCTTGATTCCCATAATGTCATCGTTTATTTCATTTATAAGAGCAAAAATCAAAATGCATGTTAATTAAAAATCTGTTTATTTTATACTATTTAATACTTGGCCATAATTTTGATCTTTTCTAACAAATATGATTAAATTTCCGTATAAAGAAAAGTAAATTAGTTTAAAAAGAAATAAAAAATCAACTAGTATGAATAAAAATTTGGGCCAGTCTGTTTTATGCACTCTTGCTTTTCTTCCCGCTCTCGATTCCCAGCTAATAATCCCTCCATTCCCGCATCATGTGAGCTCAGTGTCAGAGAAGAAGGGGGGATGATGGGAATGATGGTGGTCATTTGATCCGAGGTATGCATCACATTAGCCAGCACACAGACACATGACCCGAGGTCAGCAGAGGGGGAAAAAAGATGCAGAGGAGGATATTCTCAAAGTCCACACTAACAGGAGAAACTACTGGTTTCTGTTTATACAG